TGAAACAAAGACCAGAAGCAAGCATTGTTAGATGAAATTAAAAATCTACAACAAGAAAATAAGACTTACAAAGAACAAGTGAAAACATTAACAGCACTAATTGAAAGTTGTAAGAGTTGTCAATTACAAGCCCAAGTAGAAATCTTGCCTAAATAAAGTTAGTTCTCTGCATCTAAATAGTTAATAAATGTAAAATTATGGTATTATGCCAAGAAAAAATGTAAATTGTGATGAATGCAGAAAAGAAATTAGAGGTGAAGAAATAGCCTATTTTAGTGATGCTGAAAAAGACTTAGATTTTTGTTCAGAAGAATGTTATTCAAAATGAAGCAGAGAGGATTGAAAAGAAATCCATCCAGATTTTACTCCTGAATTAAAGAAAGAATGAAAAGAGAGAGGATTTGGTTATGAGAAAGCAAAAGAATGAGTTAATATGTTGTCTTTGTTATCATCTAAAAAATGGACACTTGAACTAAATGTTGACCTTGATTTTTGTATTTGGTCAGAGAATGTCAAAAAATGAAATGCCGAGCAAATAAATAATGACAATATAGGCAAATTATGGGAAGAATATAAAGAATGAGAAAAACAAAACTTTACTCCTAAACAAGCCAAAGAGTTTTTAGAGTTTGGTTTAACTTCCTCAGATTACTTTTATTATCGTTGGTTAAAAAATAGTAAACAACTAACTCCTCAGCAAGTTTTAGGTAATGAGCAACAGTTAAGAGAAGAATATAATAAAACTCACAGAGGTTGGTTAGAAAAATATTATCCTAATAAAGAAGAATACATTCCAAGTATCTACCTAAACCAACAATTAGAAGGAGTTTTGGATTGTAGGAAGTATAAAGGTTTAAAAAAGATATTCATTTCTACCCAAGTAGAGAGAAGTAAATTGAAGATAATAAAGGGTTCTTGTAAATATGGTAATGAAACCTTTGAAACCAAAATAATCCCTTGTATCTCAGCCCAATATTATTTAAATCAGAACTATCCCAAAGATGGGACTTGTGTAAGAAAAAATGAGATATACAAACTTGATAACTTTGGCAAAAAAAGAGAACAAATAACTAAATTAAATATAAGTGGAGAAGGCTCGGAAGGAGATTTAGACCTCTCTGATTTTACTGATTTAGAGGAATTAGATTGCCATGATAATTATCTCACTAATCTAAACTTAAATAATTGTAGGAAATTAAAGGGAATTTGATATTCTGATAATTACCTCACCCAAATAATTTATCCAACTAATCCAGAAAAAATAACTGAATTAGTTATAAAAAATAACAACCTCAATACCTCCGACCTCACTATTTTTAGTCCGATGAGGAATTTAAAAAGATTAGAGATTGGTAATCATAATAAAAACAAAATCCGAGCAGGAATATACAACAGAATAGAAGGTTCTTGTAAACCTTTAAAGGATTTGAATAGGTTAGAAAGATTAAATATTAACAACACCGACACCAATAGTGGTTGGGAATATTTGCCTGATAGTTTAAAATACTTTTATTATGACACTTGATTAAGACCTAACTGTAAATTAGCCCTAGCCACAACTGAATTAGAACAATCCTTGTGAAAGGATATTCATGAAGATTTTGTTAGTTCTGACGGCTATTTATTTAAAAAAGAATGATTAGACCAAGGATTTAGTAAAGAACAAACTAAGGAATGAATAGATGCTGGGGCTAAACCTAATAGTGCTAAGTTCATTAATTGATTTCTCAATTTCAGAAAACTAAACCTAGACTGAGCCAAGGAGAACGAAGAGGAGTTTATAAATTGAAGGGATAATTATAAAAACTTTGATGCCTGTAAAGAATGCCAACAACCTAATACTAGTTATGATTGATGTCATTCTTGTAATGCTAAACATTTTCAAGACAACTTTAATTGAACTAGTGGCAATGAAGAAATAGATATTTTTATTCTAACATGCCAACTAGAAGCCACCAGTGCTTGAAATGTTTTAGAATGAATTCCTTATGAGAAATTTAACAATATAGAACACATTGCTGATGGTGGCTTTGGAAAAGTTTATAAGGCTGAGTGAGAAGGGGGTTTTATTCGAGGATGAGATAATGAAAAGGGAGAGTGAGGAAGAAAAGGAACTTATGATAATAAAAACTACAAAATAGTAGCCTTAAAAACTCTCTCTAATTCCCAAAATCTCAATCAAAACTTCCTCCAAGAACTAACTCTCTACAAAACATTCAAAAGTGAAGTCAGCAATATGGTGCCTTGTTATGGAGTTTCCAAAGGCAATGATGGCAATTATATCTTAGTAATGGAGTATTTGAAAGAAGGAAATTTAAGGGAGTATTTGAAAAAGAATTATCAGAAGTTATTTTTTGAAAGTAAACTTGACTTCCTAAGAGACATTGCCCAAGGTCTCAAAGATATCCATCGGAAGAAATTAGTCCACAGAGATTTCCATAGTGGGAATATTATAGTAAGTGATTATGGAAATGTATGTCGTATCACTGATTTAGGCTTATCCAAGCCTGCTAATGAAGCAGATGATAATCAAGTTTATGGAGTAATGCCTTATGTAGCACCCGAGGTCTTACAAGAAAAACCTTACACTCAAAAAGCAGATGTTTATTCCCTAGGCATGATTATTTATGAAGTAATTACTGGCTTACCTCCTTTTTGTAAACAGGCACACGACTTAAATTTATCTTTAAGAATATGCCAAGGAACTAGACCTCAGTTTCCTAAACAAGTTAAATATCCTCAATTACTAATAGATTTGATTAAAAGATGTTGAGAGCAAGAACCAAACAATAGACCCACAGCCAGAGAAATAAGTGGGATGGTTGGAGAGTGATTTGAGAAAAAAAATGTATATGGTCATTTAAATTTAAAACAAAACACTGAACTCTACCAACAACATGAAGAAGCAAAAAAATATAACGAAGCTCTACCAGATGAAATCAAATACCCTACTTACCAATCCTCAGAAGTTTGACATAGTAAACCAATAAATACTAAGGAAATTACTCAGAAACTAAGTGAACAATATGGAGGTTCAGCAGGTATAAAACTAGATATCAACGACTTTCTCAACCAACTTAATCTCCAAGAAGACCCCCAAGAACAATCTTCTCTCCAAGCCCAAATAGAAATCCCTCCAAAAAGCAATTAAAACAATTCATAGAATAGTTTGTCAAAAGTGTCCCCCCCTCTGAGAAAAAGACACAATGTTTTAGTCATGGATTATATGAAATAAAATTTATTGAATATAAAGTATTGAAAGTAAGGAGCAAAGATTTATTCAGTGGTTAATCGTTTCTTTTTCTTTCCTAATTTACTAGTTGAAGTTGTTGGGGATGAACTACTTGGGGGAGAAATGGGACTGGTTGGTGTGGGACTACTGCTACTACTACTCTCCTCCGTAGCCATCTCCTCTAATTCTTTTAAGTATTCTTTGCCCTCCTCGGTAAGATGTTGACCCTTTCTTTGAGCCTCAGCAATTAACTCCTTAAACTCTTTTAGCCGACAATTGGCACATCTTTCATCATGAAAAACTTCGAGATGATGCCATTGGAAAAGAGGGGCGGACTTTTGGGTTAATTTGAACTTCTTGCCACAACCTTCTGATGAGGGACAATTGAGATAACAATCATGCCTTAATATCAACTGCCAATCTTTTCAGTCATGTTTAATCGCCATTCGCTCCCGCTTTCTTTTTCGCCCTTAACTACTTTAATGGTTGACTGACAAGCATTACATTTACAATTTCATCCACTTTTAAGGATAGAGAGTGCAGGGCATCATGGAGTAATCAAGAATAGAAATGACCCAAAATTTTGGGGACTAAATATTAAAGAAAAAGTTTTATGTGCTGATTGTTTAGGGAAATTTATTGAGAAAATGCCTCCTAATAAGAAATATACCTTTAATAAGTATCAAAAAAGAGGATATTGGAATAAAAAAAACATTGTCTAGTTAACAAGAAAAAAGTAGGCAAATATTCCTCCCCTAATTGATAGTTAAGTCGGAATTAAACTGAAAATAAGTCAAAAATCACTCTCAATTATCCAAAAATGTTGAAAGTAAACGACCGAAATGTTGGAATTAAAAATAGAAAGAGGTCGGGAATATTTTTTTATTTATGAAATTTGCTGATTTCTTATTTTGGTTTTTTATTATTTTCATGGAAATAGTATGTTTAATTAGCATTTATTTTTGCTTAAAAAAAGAGAGTAAAAAGGCTGATAAATTGTTTTTTTACTCTTTGGTGTTTATTAGTTTGGTTGTTTTTGGTAGTTGAATTTGCCTCAAAGTCTTAACTTAAAATAACAATATAAAAACATATAGTTATATAGAGATATCAACCTTTTTATTTCTTTAATTTATCGTATAATCAC